CCCCCCATGCTGAAATGACAGCATCAGGGAGGCATTCGCAAACCACCCTTTGAAAAAAAAATGTTCATAGGCTGGTAAGATGGCTCAGCCACAGACCACCCTTTTAAAAAAAATAGTTCATGGGCTGGAGAGATGGCTCAGCGGTTAAGAACACTGACTTGCAGAAGACGCAGGTTTGAATCCCAGCACCCATATCGCAGCTAACAACGGTCTGTAATTCCAGTTCCAGGGGCTCCGACAGCCTCTTCTGTCTTCCGGGGGCATTGCATGACATGGCTGCACTTACCTACATGCAGGTAATACACGCATACACATAAAATAAAAATAATAAAATATTTTAAAAAAATAGTTCAGCTGGGTGTGGTGGCGCATGCCTTTAATCCCAGCACTTGGAGGCAGAGGCAGGTGGATCTCTGTGAGTTCAAGGCCAGCCTGGTCTACATAGTGAGTTCCAGGCCAGCTGGGGCTACTGGGAGACCCTACCTCAAAAGACCCCCCCCAAAAAAAAATAGTTCAGTTCCACCCACTCCTCCTTGGCCACTATCCTGTTTCCCTTTAGATTTATTTTCTCTCTAGTACTTTCTCTCTCTCCCTTTTTTTTTTTTTTTTTTTTTTTTTTTTTTTTTTTTTAAACAGGGTTTCCCTGTAGCCCCAGTTGGCCTGGAACTCACTATTCAACCAGGCTAGCCTTGAACTCTGCCTCCCAAGTGCTGGGACTATAGCCATCACCACCATGCCTGGCTTTACATTACTTTCTCTCTATTATTTCCTAGTATGTCACATATTTACTTGATTTTGTTTTCTGTCTCCTCTCCCATAAGAATACAAGCTCCATGAGGTTAGGCTCTATTTTGTTTCACCACTATATCTCTAATGCTGAGATTATTGCCTCCTGTGTAGTAGGCTCAAGAAATATCTGTATATTAATTTAATCTGTCCTATCCTTCTTAACTTAGAAACTCATTATAGAGGGAAATTTTCCTATCTTCATCTTTGTAGTCCAAGTACCTGGGCTGTATCCTGAATACGGAAAGTATTCAAATGTTGTTTGTTATAACTAGGATGCATTGTCAGTTCTGGAAATTTTCAGTTTGTACCAGATGCTGGTATTATACTGGCAATTTATGCTCTTTTCCTTAGGCTTCAAAGTTCCCTAGTCCTAGATTTGTGGCACTGTGGATAGCTAATCTACAGTGCACCAGCCTGGGCAGTTCTAATTGACAGACATGCTGTTCCCACCAGGCATTTCATAGCCAGTTTCCTTCACTATGTTCTATCTGCCCTCCCTTGGCCTTAATTATAATTAGTTTGGCTAAAGAATTTGGTTATATGTAGAATCAAACAGGTGGGAAAGAAAAACTCTCTCTCTGCTACTAGGTAAGGATATGACCATAGGTCAGTAATAGTATCCCATAGGAAACATTGCATATCATCACATAACATAACTTTTTAATAAAGTCTTTAGCACAACAAAAAGAACTTTTATGAACCTGGTAGCCAACATGAGAAAAACTACAATAGTCAAAACTCCTAAAGTAAGAATGCTTTTGTCTAGCTCCATCAGGGTTTTTTACAAAAATAAGTCAAATATAATATGATGCATATCTCTGGTTTTAGTTCTTAATCTGATACAAAATAAACAATGCAGTGAAATGATAAAATAAAGGGAGCCAGACATAAGAAATAAGATTAATTTCCATAGCAGACTTAATAGCAACCAACTCCACACACTAGGAATTGGGCAAAGGCACTATCCTGTGGCCAAAAGAACATGGCCACCTTTGATTGCTTACAGGTACCATCTGCCAAATCAAAAATGTTTATCAGGGCTGGAGAGATGGCTCAGCGGTTAAGAGCACCGACTGCTCTTGTAGAGGACCCGGGTTCAATTCCCAGCACCCACATGTGTCTATGAAACATTCTTAGCTCCAGTTCCAGGGGAATCCGAAGCTCTCTTCTGACCTCCTCAGCACTGCACGACACAGGTGCACACTCACATACATGCAGGCAATACACTCATACACATAAAAAATGTTTATCAGACAGCAAACATTACAGACATAGTGTGGTACATATAGATAATTCAGAAAAGCTAGCAGCATGATTAAAATGCAGTATACTAGTATTTTAAAAAAACACACACACAATCTTCACACTGCTCAAACCCAAGTCAATGAAAGTTGATTTGTTTTCTCCCCTCATCCCCTCCCTTTTTTTGTCCCCTTTCTAATAAGATTGTTTGATAAACTACTTAAAGAATTACCATTAACACCCCCCCCCTCAATTTCATATGGTGGGATAAAATGGAGTCAGCACTGGAATCATCTTTTCTACAAAATGAAGTATTGACAATGTACTTCTAAATTAATTTCTAAGACTATACTGAGGCTGCAGGTTCAACTCTAAAAGCATTTCAAGCATGCTGCCTCACCCCAGCGCTCGCGGCCCTCCCATCCGTCCCCCATTCTGCCTTTGCTTCCATCATCTCTGGTTCTTCTGTGCATCACTTGCACATTGAAGGTGTTGAGAACAGTGAGAGAGGAAAATGAATTCTATGAAAATAGGGTACAGAACGTGTGAAACATGGTTCAGGGCTTCATAGTCAACTGCCGGATGTCATACCCAAGGGCAATATCATGGATACTTCCTCTCTCTAGCTACTGCTGTATTCTATATTGTCAGCTCCTAGTGGCTCAACTGTGACAGAGTCAGAACCGCAGATGGAATTATCCTTACACAGTATGAAGTGGTATGAGGAATCTTTGGGAAAAGGATGCTCTCATCAGGGGATTCCTTAGCTATCCAGAGCAACAAAACGTATCATAAATCCAGCATTTTAAAAGTCTACATTTTAATTCTTCTCATACTTCCTTGTTGATTCCTGGGGTTTCCAAGAATTAGGATTACTCTGGTTTGAAGGAGATTTGGATCTAGGAGGCTAAATGATCTCGAATGCTATAAAGTGAAAGGAAGAAAGTTATCTCTTTGATAGGAATACGTTTCAATCACCATCACTCTGGGTTAGCATGACCAGATCAACTATCCCTTACCTGATATAGAAAAACAGCTTTTCAAAACAGAGCAAGAGTCTGCACCCATGAAATCTCAACAATATGGTTGCCTAAACAAGACCTACAAAATGACACCAATTGACATGCCAATGTGGATGGCAAAAGGTTACACCTCTAGATGAAGAGCTACAGGCAATCAATCAATGGCTGCTGAGAGAGGGACAATCAGTTTTCTCCAGGCAGGAGATCCCTGATAGGTTATTCAATCCCAAGTGCTCAGCCCTAAACACATGCACATACTAGTGTCACTAGATGGATTCTGTGTGTGTGTGTGTGTGTGTTGTATACACATACAATAATAAATACAGAGGTCAGGAAATTGAGAAGAGGGGTGAAAGTGGGAGGAACTGGAGGGGGAAAGGGAGGGGTGAAAATGATGTAAATACAGTTACTCATATATTAAATTCTCAAAAAATTAAAAATTAAATTAAAAAAACAGAGCAAGATAACTGTAAATAACTCTTTCCTTCATGGAAATAACTAATGGCAATGAAGGGGGAAATCTCTGGTATTGATGTATCATGAGAATTATTTGTTTTTTGTTTTTATTTTTAGTAAATGCAGAAGCTCTAGTCTCCATTGCCGTCCTGAGCCAGAAACGGCAACTTCAGTGAATCAGGGCCAACAAACAACCACATCTAAAATTAAGTATTCCAGAAGCTCAAAATGTAAAACTGCTAGGAAGATTTAACAGGGCATTTATTTCAATTATAAAAGATATTTACTTAATGTTCCATAAATTACCACAGGTGAATAAAGAGATTGTGAATACAAGAAAACAGTCAAAGCTGGGAGTGTGGGACCAGCCTGTAATCTCAGCAATCAGGAGACTGAGGTGGGGGAATCACCAGTTAGAGGCCAACTTGGGCTACAGGGTGAGTCCAAGCCAGCCTGGGGTACATAGCAAGACCTTATGGTCTCTTTTTTTTTGGGGGGGTGTCTTTTTGAGACAGGGTCTCCCAGTAGCCCCAGGTGTCCTGGAACCCACTATGTAGACCAGGCTGGCCTTGAACTCACAGAGATCCGCCTGCCTTTGCCTCCCGAGTGCTGGGATTAAAGGCGTGTGCTACCACACCTGGCTCTCATTTTTTTTTAAATCGAAGTACAAGCAAACTCCGGATGACTCTACAAAGTCAAATTTGTGATCAAGAGATGAGAATCAAATATAATTCTTTGGTAATCACCCTCATTCATCCTCATTCAATAGCTGGAGGATAGTATGGTTTTTGGACACCAGCCCACGTCCTGAACTTCCACTTAATACTAAGAACAATCCTGCCAGAAATAAAAGACTGCACCGGCCGGGGCTCCAACTCTGTACACATATTAGCTGGTCTGTGAGATGAAGCCCGGAGCTTCCTCCCATCCAATTCTCGGGGGTGGGGAGGACTGCAAGAAGGGGGGGGGGAGTCGAGAATGAGGCGGAGATGTTTGGGTTCGGGAATATTCATGCCTATCCCCCTCCCTACTCCCAATTCAGGATGGAAAATCAAAGGCAAATTAATCGCCAAACTAAAAGGAGTAGATTGTTGCAGGGGGTGTGGGAGCAGAGGACACTCCGCAAGTCATCTAGATGTCAAACCTTCCTTTTCACCTGGTCACAGGACTGCGAGAAGTGGCTGAGCCTTCGCTGCGAGGCTCCAGCCCCAGGAACCAATTAAGGATAAGCGGGAGGAAAGGAGATGGAAGGCAGGAGGAGGGGAGGGTCTCGGGGAGGGGAGGATGCAGCGCAGAGGGAGGGAGGACAGGCTAGACTAGGGAGTCGGGAGGGAGACCGAGATCCTCAGGGGGTGCGGGGCGGGCAGGAAGCCCCGCCGGGGACTAGCCAAGCAGAGGCTGACCTGGGTGACTCAGTGAAAGCAGCCGCGGTCGGGCCCCGGAGCGGCCGCACGGAGGTGACCGCGCGGCGGGCGCGGCCGGGGGGCTCACCGTGTCCTTGGACGAGCCCAGCTTTTTGAGGCCGTCCAGGGGCAGCAGGTCGGCGGAGTCCTTGTGGATGAACTGCACCGCCTGCTTCATCCGGCGCTGCTGCCGCAGCGACGCCGCCTCCCGCACGTCGGTCTCCTTGCGGCCGCCCTCCGTGAGGAGCCCTGAGTAAAACATCGCTGAGGCGCCCGCAAGCCCCGCGGTGGGATCTGTCTCCAGGCTCCGGGAGCCCTTAGCCTCGAGCTCCTGACAACACCGCGAGAGCCTCGCGCCACGCCTTTTATAGCCGAGCGTGACGTCAGTGGGGCGCAGCCAGTGCGCGCGCTGGGGGGCGGCTCTCGGAGGTCTCGCGTCCTTCACTCACCTCCCTGAGGTGGCCATCCACCCTGAGGGAAAAGCCAGCGAGGACCGGGCGCCCTGGACTGACTGACTGACTGACTGACGACTGACTGACTGACTGACTGACTGACTGACTGACTTCGGGGCACTGAGCGCGGCGGCCTCTTCGCCCTGCATCCCCTGCACTGGGATGGGCCGTGATGGGGGGCTCAATGCTCGACCACAGCCACAGCCCCCAGGCCCCGCTCACCTGTCCACGCGGCGGCCGAGCCGGGGATAACTGACAGCTGCGCCATGGCCGAGGCTCGCTGCCCGTGCTTCGCAGAGTCGCACCTCGAAAGTTGGGAGCGCTTCGGGTTCCTCCAACTTCAGCTCGGTCACCACCCACAGGCCACGTGACTGCGGAGGGGGCCGCGCCAGAGAGATCAGCACCCTGAGAAGTTAATAACTACACTTGAGTTCTTGTTAGGATTATTAGCGAGATCCTGGAATGAACGCAGAGTTCGGTATCTTACTGCATGACAAAGGCTTAGGGGATCGGATTCTCACTAGTCCCTTTACAGGTGCCAATAACTGAAACAGCCCAGCCAACCTCTCGAGTGTCCCCGGCCCCTTCCTTTCATCGCTCACTGTGCTGTTAATCTCCAACCTCAAGTGTCACCGTCTCACGTCCCTGCTAAGAGCACCCCAAAAGGGGTCTGCTCTTGAGAGAGAGACCCTCCCCCCGCCCCCGACTCTTTCGTGGTTGCTTGATGCACTCAGCTTCATGAGCCTTCTCTCAGTTCCATGGAGAGGTCTCTCTCCTTGCCAAATGGTTTGCCTTTGTATTGTCCTCTGTCAGGGAGCCTCCTCTCTCCACTTCAGTGATCTGTGCTTCTTCTAGACCTTGGCTCTATTACTGCTTCTTTCAAAGACTTTCTCTAACTGGAGTCTGGTGGTGCTCTCCTTTAATCCCAGCATTCCGGAGGCAAAGGCAGGCGGATCTCTGTGAGATCAAGCAAGCCTGGTCTACATAGTGAGTTCTAAGCCAGCTGGAGCTACAGAGAGAGCCTCTCTCACAAAAGAAAAAAAAAAAAAAAAAAAAGAGCATAGCTAACTTAGGGGATGCATTCTCTTAATTGCTTACCATCAAATTTTCACTACCTAGAAGACTGTCAATAAATACTAGTTAAGGTTGTGTCTAAGGAAAGCAGGGAGCAGAGCTGTGGGATCTACCTTTAGAGCTTGTGCTGGACTTCCCAGACCAGGCGGGACGGGCTTTAACATAAACCAGCTTCTTTCCCTCTGCCCTCTGCCCTCCCCCTCAACATCTGCCCTAGTTTCAGAGAGCACAGACAGCTTGTAGGGAAAAAAACCCAGAAGACGGCTTGCCCAGCTCCAAGGAAGCACCAGGGCTGGAGTCTTCTGTTCTCTTCCACATGCAGAGGGCAGGTGAAATTGCTCATCTTCCAGTCCTCTGGCACCCCTCCACAATGGCTGCCCTGGTTCCTTTCTGTCTGGTTGCCTGGATCCCTGGGTGGTTGCTCCTCCAGTGGATCACCTAGGGAACGGTGAAAGACAGTTCTGCTTTGTCTCTAGGACAGGTGCCTCTGAGCTTGGCCAAGTATCAGATGGGGCCCAGCACTGGGGGCCCATGTGGCTTGGACTGGGACAACTTCTTTCCTCAGGAAGGAAGCCAGGCAGGTCCAAACTCTGGGGGAGGAGTTGGAATTCTTGAGGCAGTTTAGCTCAGTCTTGTAGCCTGAGGATGTCCTACAAAAGAAAGAGGCTCTTGTCCTAGCTAGGCCCCCCTGGGAACATTAGAGAGCTGAATCTGTCTGGATGAGCTGGAATCTGGCCATATCAGGTGTTGGTGAAAGATCAGTGGGCCCTGGCTGGAGCTGGGAACCTTTATGTGAATTCAGAGCTTGTTGCTGTAGTGGAGTTTGTGTTCTCTAGTTGGATTTGTGGTCATAGTACTGTTGGTCCCCTCGCCTGTCAGAGACCTTTCTTGCCACACTGATCCTGTTACTGCCCTTCTGCATAGTCAGTATGGTGAGGCTTGTTCCCTCACCTCCTCCACACACACTGAATTCTGCAGAGGATAGCCTGGCTGTTCAGTTGGAGGACGGTCACAGCTGGGTGGTGTATTCAGTTTTCCCAAATGACTGAGCAAGTCTCTTTCTACCTTTGACTCTCAGTTTCCATATGTGCTAAAGGAATGAGGTGAGATTGCATATTCAATTATGCTTTGCCAACTCCTGAGGACTGCACCAACAGGAAAGATTAATATTAATTCTTCAGAGAGCCAGACTCCCCTGCAGCACAAGATCATCTTGGAGTACATATATAGAGGTTAAAGCACATGTTTTGGATTCTAATATACTAGGTTTAAATCCTTGCTAGCTATGTGACTTCTCGACTACGAGTATGTAGTTCCCATAATGTACTTTATATTGGTAAATTGTCATGTGTTGTTCTGGCTCCTGGAGAAGCTGGCTCTGAAAGTAGGTTCCACCTGCCTTGCGTGTCAGACCCAAGCATGTTTGTTTCAAAGTGTCCTCCAAGGCTTCTTGTCCGGGAGTTGTTTGGCCCTCCTCACTCTGTGAGAGAATGGGAAGAGAACAGCAAAACAGCACAAGAATAAAAACATCATGTCCTTGAGAACAGCTAGAAGGTAAAGCATTTCCACCAGATGCTACTCTATTTATCCCATGATGTTAAAGTGTCTGCAATGGGAAAGACCAGCCAGAAGTTCAGCTGTAGAAAGTACATCCATGGAGAGAAAGCTCAGCTTGGAACTCCAGCTGACTGCCTCAATTTCCCATCAGTTTCTGCTGCATGCTGTGAAGCCTCCATTTGACAATGTTACCTTTCTGCTGTTATTTGTTCTTTTGCTTGGAAGCTTCACCCAGGCAGATAGTGTGCTGTGCCTCAAACTCTCTCCCTGACTGTCTCAACAGGGCTCCCCCAAGGCAATTTCTGTTGGATGTTTTGAGTATAAAATTTAATGATTATCTATCATCTATCTATCTATCTATCTATCTATCTATCTATCTATCTATCTATCATCTATCTATCTATCATCTACCTATCTATTCATCCATCCTTCTACCTACCCATCTAGCCTTCTGCCTACCTACCTACTACTTGTTATTTATTCTTCTTCTTTGGTTTGCTGTATACTTAATAAACTTACTCATTCAAAACTGAAAATATGACTATTTTAGATCATTCTACAGCCTGCATAGAATAGTTTCTCATCTAGAAAATGGTGCCAGTACCATCTCTCCCTCTTAGGGCTGCTGTGAGGTATAAATGAAATTATCTACGTAACACTGTCTTATACCTGTGGGCCCAGCAGAAGAAAGCTATTATCATTACTTGGAGGCAACTTCACGAAAACCCATATAGGCTGTGGTGATCTGAGTGAATCTGACTTATGCTCCCTGTAAAACTCCAGGCACACAAATCAGACCTGACCATCTTCCCTGCTCCTTGGGGCTAGGCATCCTGAGGCAGTGGCTGACCAATGCGCTCCTTCTCCCAGGGTCTCCAGATTCTGGATTTCCCATGTTAGGGTCTCCCATGTAAAGCCCTCTGCACCCTACTTTGCCTGTGGCAGAGGATCTGCACTTGAAGGTCATACTAGACAGGCCAGTGCTGCTTCAGTTAAGACTCTTTTCATGTTATTCTTAGAAAGATGGAAGCTCAATCGTAAATTTCCTATGCAGAAGTGCAGAACCTTTGCTTCCCTTCATTAAACAAGGCAGGGGCTTCAGGCAGGGCTGGATCTAAGAGGCTACATGGCATATCACTGCTTCAGCTCTGCAGCCTGCTGAGCTGGCCCAGTAGGCAGCCTCTTCCTGTCTCACAGCTGTCAGCAGCTTCTGGCTTATAATCTTTCCACCCAGCTACCTCTGTCCTTTGCATCTTCAGCTGACAGGGAGGACTTTGAAAATGGAATACAGGATGAGAGCCGAGACTGGGAGTCCAGAGAAGTGGAGAGGAGCAGAGTTACGAGGCAAAGAAATTTTCATCCCTTTCTCCTCTTATCCATACAAATTACCCATGGTACCCTGAGGTTAGGATGGCTGCTCTTCACTCACCAGCTCATCCTTACAGATAGGAACAGAGCAGGCTTCCTCCTCCAGGGTCTTATCACTCTCACGATTTCCTTTGGCAGGCAGATTCCTCAAACAGTTGTCCTCTGCAGGTGTGTGCCAAGATGCCTAACTCCACAGTGCCCAAGTCTTGGCCTCCAGCCCTGAAGACTGTTTCTATTTGGCAGATTAAAGCAAAATTCTTTCTTTCTTTCTTTCTTTCTTTCTTTCTTTCTTTCTTTCTTTCTTTCTTTCTTTCTTTCTTTTCTTTCTTTCTTTCTTTTTTTTCTCTCTTCAGAGGGATTCTAAACATCACCACAGCCTCAAAATGTAGAGCTTGATGGAGGCCCTACTGGTGCTTTCCAAAGCTGGCTGAGTCTTTTGGATCTGTTCCTGTCAGCAGTAATTTAGATTCATTTCCTGGAATGAGGACAGATTTTGGCCTCAAATCAGACAGCAAGAGAAGAGAAAAAGAGGGAAGGGGAGCCTCAACATCTGAAGTGAGATCTGGGCTTGGGCTTGGCTTTAAGTTCATTTCTTCCCCTTGCTTGCTGTGGAACCCTAGCCAAGTTACAGAAGATCTCTGGGTCTCCATTTGCCCATCTCATAGAGCTCTGTGTGGTTTTGTAAGCCACACACAGAGCACAGAGGCCTGGCCAGAGTGGGTGCCCAATAAACATAAGTCCCATTCCCTTTTCCTCCCCCTCGCCCACACAGAGAACCCAGAAGCAGAGTGACACCAGTAAGGCAGGGAAAAGTCTTCAATGGAAACGAGGCCAGTCCTCTCAGAAGCCAGTGAAGCCTAGGCCTGGCCTGCCTGCTCTGATGGACAGGTAGAGTGGGC